AGCATCGATGGACTCAAGCGTGGCAACATTAGTGAGGTTGTTCCAGGATCGGGCAGTGTTTCGTTCTTCTGTGCATAATGTTGCTATGGGTCGGTACTGTCTTGATGACACCTAACAACAACAACAACAGCAGGCAAATAACATCTCAATATTGGGATAAATATAGTTTTGACTTCATGGATCCCCTAGAAGGGTCTCTGGGACTCTCATTAGAGTTCCCAAACCATGCTTTGAGAACTACTGCTCAATTAGAAAAAGTGAGGCCCTCAAGGAATGTATATACCCAAGGCACGTTTTATTAACAGCTGGTCATATATCAGAAGCTTAGTGCTCTATGTTACACTAAGTAGAAGGTCTCTGTCCCAGTCTTGTGATCTTACTATCTTTAGGCTGGCTGCATTGTTTAAAGAATTGTTTCTCAAACTATCTGTGGTGAAAAACTAACTTCTTGTTTTCTTAATTCTTCATGAACCATTATTATTATAAAATGCAGTAACAGTGAATTTCTATAATCCATTCTAGAATTATCACATTCTTGGATGTTATGGCAACATCAGACTGCTATGAAAGTTTATAACTAGATTTCATCTGGTTATTGTATATATCTCATTGTAAACCAGTAACAATCAAGATTTACAGTATAGCAGTGGTCTAGGAATCCCATTTTTGAGTACAACTGGTTAAGGAGACTGAATCAGTGAGAGTGCCCAACCACATAAGAGGAATAATGTGCAGTGAGCTAGAGGAGGCCCTGATTCTTTTACAAATTCAACAATATGGAGAGCATAAGTGTAAGAGCTGACCATGTTGTGCCCTCTTTAACACACAGTGAAACTGTACACTCGTAATATATGAGGCCCAGTTAGCATTTTGGATTCTGTCCAATGTAGTTCCTCCTCTCTGGTGCAGGATAAGAGTGGAAGAACAGCTTCATTTCTAGAGACTTGTATGTAGCATAAGGAACACTGGTGACACTGTGGGTCAGGTGTCGGGCTGCTAACTGCATGCTTGGAAGTTCAAACTCACCAGCTATTCCATGGAAGAAAGATGAGGTTGTCTGCTCCTGTAAAGATTTATAGTCTCGGAAACACTGAATCAACTCGATGGCAGTCAGTTTGCTTTTGGTTTGGGTAATATAGCATATGGTATGTTATATATTTAATAATGACATTTGTGTAAAATGATACATGATTGTGGTGATCAAATTCACTTTTTGTCTCAGAGAATTCTGTGTCGCATAGTCAAGGCAGGAAAGGGCACCATAATCGGTGGAGAGTCCGGTGGGAGACTAGAGTGAGATGAAACTAGACATATCTAAGGAACACATGCTGACCTGGGGGCCGGGTCTTTGTACATGATAGGAAAAGATAAGAACTGGAAGCATTTTGAGTTTAGAACGAGAAATGGAGTTCTAGGTGGCCAAAAGACATGTAGATAAAACTCTAAACGAGGAGCTCCCCAGTCCTTCTGTATGTTCAAAAGTGTTACCAGAAAAGAAGTTTATTTAACACTTAAGTACTTATAAAGGAGTCCTTAAGTGGCACTCACAACCTCAAGGTCGGTTTGAACCACAAGATCGGCAGTTCAAACTCACCAGCCGCTCCTCAGAAACCCTATACAAGATCAGTTGGAACGGACTCAAGGGCACTTAACAACAATTACTTAAAACTGAAGTATGATACTGCATTGATACAGTCCCTGCCCACAATGAACTTTCAAAGTAGAATCATTTTGCAAGAAGGTTAAAGCCTAAACTCTAAGGTAAAAATCTCATACAGTTAAAAATCATTTCAAAATTTCTTTAGAGTTATTATTGAGCAAATTAAGTGTCTCAGCATAGCAAAGAGGATTGTGTAAGTTTTTTGTTTTTTTTTTTAATGTTTTATTGTGAATTATGTGATAGTTTACATGGGAGAACATTAGTTTTACATTCATTCTATCGTATACCGTCTCATTGCCATGGTTACAATCCCCTCCATGCAATCCTTCCCCTGTGCCCCCCAGGTCTTCAGTAGGATTGTGTAAGTTTGTCAAGTTTCTTTCTCTTTGAGCAGTAGTCATCAAACTGGGGTTGTATTCATTGGGACATCTGAAAACCTTCACAAATACTGTTGATTTTAAGGGACCCAATTCCCAGATCTTTAGCTGGCAGACCCCTGAGACTGAGATTAGCTCTGTGGTCCAGAATCACACCGGTTCTCCTTTTCCACTTCCCTCTACACAAACAACTTTCTCACACTTGTGGATGGAAAACATACCTTTACTTTCCCACATCGTCCTATGCTGCATTGTCCTAAGATATAAAAATCCTGCGGGTACAAACAAAGGGACAATTGAAAATATTAATAACCTACAAAGTTTTCTTTAATCAAGGAACAGTAAATCCATTTTAAGGCTTCTTAAATTTAGCTGTCTTCCACATCTATCTGTTAAGAGTGAAACATAGTTATAATTGCATGGATATTGGGTTGTTTTAAGTTCAGGAATGGGATAGTTGTTGTTGGAATATTTAATAGTTATAGTTTAATACCTAATAATTGGAGTCCTGGTCTGGCACTTGTAGGACAAGCACTGGACTGCTAATCACAAGGTCAGCTGTTCAAACCCATCAGCTGCTCCTCGGAAACCCTATACAGGGTCACTATGAGTCAGAACAAACTCAATGACACTTAACAACAACAACCTAATAATTAATAATTTGTTAAATTATATATAATATATTGATATATTTATGTAAAATGAAAAATGAGATCAGACTTCTTCCAATGAAAATAAGTCTGATTTGGCCAAATAAGTCTGATTTGCTTTGACAGTGAGGATTAGCTTTGCAAATTAAGTAATACAGTAGGCATTTTCTACACTGAGCTAAATTGGTGGCTTTAAAATTTGGGTGAAAGTATGTAATTAGATGAAATCATCTTATTAAAAATAAATGTTGGCAGTGGCATACAGAAATTAATATTTTAATTCGAACCTTTTCTTTTGGGTTAGTCAAGGTGTTGTTGTGTTGTGATGTGCTGTGGTGTTAGAACCGACTCATAGTGACCCTGTACAGGGTTTCCGATGCTGTAAATCTTTACGGGAGTAGAAAACCTCATCTTTCTCCCACGGAACAGCTGGTAGTTTCAAACTGCTGACCATGAGGTTCGCAGCCTGATTCATAACCACTATACTACCAGAGCTCCTTTAGTCAAGGTATAACAGAGTAAATAATGTTGTTGTTATGTGCTATTGAGTCAGTTCCGACTAATAGCAACACTGTATAGAGTTTCTGAGGCACAACTGGTGCGTTTGAACTGCCAGCATTGCAGTTCAAACTGACATTGAAGTACAGTGCTTATTCTACAGCATCAATGTTGTTTGATGTTAAGCGTTATTGAGTTGGTTCCGACTCATGGCAACCCTGTATAGGGTTTCCAAGTAGTGGATGGTGAGTTTGAACCACTGACCTTGCAGTTCAAACCAACCTGGTAAGTCACATAAAGCCTTTCTGGTATCCTTCCTAGAGGGGTATGTCTCTCTAACAAGTAGGTGGCAAATCTTTTGGCAGATTAGGTGGTTTTCAGTTATTTACTCTCAACAAAATTATTAGAGGAACTAATTGAATTGTTAGCCACTTGATCATTAAAATAATTTTTCTGTAAAAATAGTTGCTGATTGCTCTTACAGTGTGATTTTTGGCATATAACTTGGAAAGTATTCAAAGAACTACATGACATTGTTATACAAGATGCTTCCATTGCATTATACTTACTTAAATGACTAAGGTTTCTCAGTGAGATGGGGAGAGAGTGATGTCTAATAACAAGTAATAGCTAGAAGTCTAATAACAAGTAATAGCTACCAATATTTAAATAACATTTGAAAAAAACTTCTCCATCTTATTAACGACTATGTCTTTAAAATGTCTTATAATTACTAATAAAAGTATATACATATTTGGGTAATGTTGAACAATTGAGTTGAGAATTCTAAAAGAAAATCTCAGAGAATTTTAAGTTTTTCTTAAGAGACTCATGATCATAAGAATTTTTAAAATGCAAAGTACAGTTATAATTTTTATTACAGAAAAGTGTTTCATAAAGCTTAAAATATACATCAGCATAAAATTCTATAGGGAATATAAAATGTAAATATGACTTGAAGAAGAAAAATAAGGAAATATTTCTAAGTGGGAAGAAGAGCTTTACTTAAAATGTCAATAAATATATGGTGGGAATTACATGGTTTACAACTATTTAAACTTTTTGCTGAAAAAAATTTATATTAGATAGGGTTAAGGGAAAGAATGTTATATTTTAAATAAAAAAATTTTTTTGAAAGTATACGAGCAACAATGTTTGAAGACCATTGTTAGTTACAGGGCATATCCTCTTGAAAGAATGACAAGTGATACCAGCATTTAAATACTATTTAATTTAAATACTATTTAAATGCTCCCTCTCTTTTATTTGATTGTTTTTTTGCCCAATATGACATATAGTTAAGTTAAAGGTACATTCCATGTGAGCCCACAGTAATGAGAAATAGGCTGCATAGAATGGCATGAGATAAAACCATCTTGCATGAATGAACAGTGACTAGAAATTTGGAACCTTATACTGGTCAAAGGCAGGTGTTATCTCAAGATTAATAGGGCAAAGGGGAATGAGTAATGGATGATGAACAGTAGTAGAAATTCAACATCCAGAAGTATTTCCTGGAAACACTTCTGTAAGAGTTACACGCTGCAACTCATAACCTTTCTCTCTGTCTCTTTCCCTAATCTACAGTCACTGCTCAGCATTCCTGGTTCCCCGTTCCTCTCCCGCCACAACAGCAAAAGCAGCATCTTCAGTTTCAGGGGACCTGGGCGGTTCCGAGATCCCGGCTCAGAGAACGAATTTGCCGATGATGAGCACAGCACGGTGGAGGAGAGCGAGGGCCGCCGGGACTCACTCTTCATCCCCATCCGGGCCCGCGAGCGCCGAAGCAGCTACAGCGGCTACAGCGGCTACAGCCAGGGCAGCCGCTCCTCGCGCATCTTCCCCAGCCTGCGGCGCAGCGTAAAGCGCAACAGCACGGTGGACTGCAATGGTGTGGTGTCCCTCATCGGTGGCCCGGGGTCTCACATCGGCGGGCGTCTTCTGCCAGAGGTGAAAATAGATAAGGCAGCTACTGATGACAGTGTAAGGAAGTAAACAAATAGATTGAGGCTAGGCATGGCAGTCTCTCCCGCGCCTGACCTCGTCTTTCCTTGTTCTGCCCATCCCACCTGGTCTCATTCTTCCACACTCTGCCTTTGACTCTGTTTTTATGCCTCAACGTTTCTATTTTCCCCTCCTGGTTTACTCATTTTTCTTCTTCTGTCCTTTCTGTTTTATTTACTCTCATAGTTTCCTCTTTCTTTATTCCTTGCTTCAATTTCCCCCATAGTTGTTTCTTAATATTCCCCTTCCTCATCCTCCAGTCCTTCTGTCTTACCTGTTTCTCTTCATTTTTGCAACTCTCTCTTTCTGCCCTTCTGTCTCCCTCCTTCCACCCGCTTTGACTGACTGAATGCCTCTGGCCAGCGAATCCTGATGGGATGGAATGAGAATAGCATACTGCCACCACCAGTGACCAAGTCTGAGTGGGTTTCGAACTACCATTGCTTCTCTTACCCCCAACTCCTCTCCCTTCCTAGGGAAACAGCTGGGAATTTAAACCTTGTGTCTTTCTATTAAGGTGAAGTAATACCGTTTTGAATAATTTTCTGTGTACTCTTCAAGAAAATGCAGTTTTTCCAAAGAGGAATGTACCCGTGATGTTGGGGGTGGGAGGTGTGCACCTGGAAGCTCCAGGCAAGGAGAGGGTAAGGAAACCAGTGTGAAACTGGACCTAGACTTTCATAAAGAATTGAAATGGAAGCAACTCAAAGGAGGAAAGAGTGGGAGGTTGGGGCAAGAACACATGGTGTATGGGGGAGGAAGGCAAAGAGAAGCAAAAAATGAATTTTAAATGCAATCAAATGTCAGGCTCCGGAGGAGTTGCATATAATAATTTCATAAAATCACTTGTCTAGGGTTTGAATAATAGTTTCCCTCTTTGGAAAAGCCATCTCTTAGCATTTCTTTAAATTCTACGCTGTTTATACCTTTTTTAAGTTTTAAATTCATGTAACCTCAGTGATCCTAATCCTTCCTACCTCTAATTCCTTAACTTTTCTCAGTCCTCCTGAGCTGAGTTCCTTGAGATAGCATGTCAGTCTGTTTGATTCTAACACAGCATGAAGATAATCAATCTCTTAATTAGCATGATGCATGTGTAGAAGAAAACTGGACAATTGTGGATGAAATTATTCAGAATGATGTTTTTGGCATTTTAGAGCAGTTGTTAACCGTACAAAGTCAAAAGTCCGTTTGGAAGTTCTGTTTTCTCTTCCTGTTCTTTATTTAAAAGCAGAATACTTTCTCCCTTAGAAAGGTGTACAGCTTTTTGCAAGTTAAAAATTACTTTAAAAAAAAAATTACTTTTACGTTCATTATTTAATTGGGTAAGAATAAAAATTCTTTCTTAGACAGGGAAGTAGACTCAGAGAATTTGTTTTTTCTTCACATCACTCAGCTCATGAGTGGTACAGCCAGAAACCCAAATCTTATGGGTGAATTTTTATATATTCTGCACATAATTTGGCCGTGACACTTCTGGAAAATAATTGTTTATATAAGATAAACAATAATAAACAGTGACCCTAAAGTCCCCCTGCAAAACCAGATAATTGGCCAAAATAAATGTTACAGATTATAATCTTTAAATTTAATTTTCATTTGACCTTCAAAAGCTGTGTCTAGGAGTAAATTTTGAGGCCCTACAATAACATCTATAGGAGTCTTGGTGTGGCGCTATGGGTTAATACGCTGGACTGTAATGTCATTTGAACCTCAAGGTCGACGGTTCAAGCTCACCAGCTGTTCCCCAGAAACCCTATACAGGTCACTGTGGGTCAGAATTGACTTAATGGCACTTAACAACAATTATATAAGTAATTATATGCTCTGATTAAAAACTTTAGGCAGTATCAAGGAGAACGGGGGGTGTGGGGGCTGGACAATAATACAATTGATGAAATGTTGGCATCCTGGCTGCTTTTAAAAGTGTTTTAGTTAAATAATACATCTTGCTTTTTCTGTGATGAGAAAGTATTAGAGGAGTCCAGGCATAAGCTTGAACTTCAATTTACGTCAGATGAGTATGTTTTGAGGCTTTGTTTTTATATTTTTTTATCTGAGTTTGTTTGGTTTTTAGAAGCTTCTTTTGTACTATATAAAGAACCCTGATGGCACTATAGGATAAACATTAAACTGCTAACCATAAAATTGGCAGTTTAAACCCACCAGCTGCTTTGCAGGAGAAAGATGAGACTTTAGGCTACCTTAAAAATGTACAGCCTTGGAAATCCTATACAGGGTTACTGTATGTTGTAATTGACTTGAAAACAATGGGTTTGGTTTGGGTTGTACTATATGGGAGAAAGGAGACCTGGTGTGGCACTGTAGAATAAGTACTGGACAGCAAGATTGATTTGAACTGCAAGATGGGTGGTTCAAACTCACCAGCCACTCTTTGGAAACTCTATACAGGGTCACTATGAGTAGGAACTGACTTGACGGCACTTAATAACATCAACATATATGGGAGAAAATTTGAGAACAGATGGCTGTGGAGTGTAAGACTTTATGCACAGCCTTACTCTGGCCTACGGAGCTCTGCCTGTTTATTTTGTTGTTGCTGTTGTTCTTGTTGTTGTTGAAGGGGCAGGAGCCTGCACACCCACCACCCCATAAGCACTTAAAAGAGTCTGCAATGTTCTCAAGTGATGACGAGGATTTCCGGTGCCAGGAGGGCCGATCCCAAAGTGGCAAGAAGATGGGGTCAGCGAGACAAATAAGTCAAAAAAGTATTGCTGCAAAATCATAGAAACCTTAATAAAAAAAAATAACAAAATGTGAGGCTATTGTTTCTCAACATAATCCTCCATCTGGGTCTTCTGAAGGCACTGTTTCCATCTAACAGCCTCTTCCCCAAAGAATTCTGTGCTCTTCAATTGATATCACTTCAGAACGTCAGTTTGGGCATCTTCCAGGGGCTCAAATTGTGTTCCTTTTTGATGTTCTTTCAGTTTGGGGAACAAAAAAACCTCTAAAGAGGCAAGATCAGGTGGATGGTGTAAGGTTTCCCAATGAAATTGTTGTAAGACAGCCCTTGCTACCCTCGAAGAATGAGCAGGTACAGTGTTGTCATGGAAAAAAATCCCTTGATACAGCTCTTCAAGGCCTTCTTTTCACTATTACAGTTTTTAGTTTTCTTAAAACTTCTTCCTAAGAAGCCTCCGTGATCATCCTGTGTCCTTTAAGAAGCTCTGTCAGGATTTGAAATTCTAAAAAACTGTTACCATGGCCTCTTTGCCTTGAATTCATGTTGGATTGGCACAATAGTAGCAGCAATGGATTCAAGTGTAACAATGATTGTGAGGATGGCACAGTAGCGGGCAGTGTTTCATTTAGTTGTACATGGGATAACTATGGGTCAGTGCCTACTTGAGAGAACCTAACAATAACAACCTCACAAGCACTTGTTCATTATAAATACTCTTTTTTAACAACATAAATGGAGACTGTATATATACATGGACCTCACCAAATGAAATATACAGGGATCAAATTGATTGCATACATGAGAAGACACGATCGAGAAGTTCAATATCATTAGTCAAAGCAAGGCCAAGAGCCAACTATGGAACAGACCATGAATTGCTTACAAGTTCAAGCTGAAGCTGAAGAAAATTTAAACAAGTCTACAAGATCCAAAATAGGACCTTGAACATATCCTACTTGAAATTAGAGATCATTTCAAGAATAAATTTGATGCATTAGACACTGACACTAATGACCGAAGACCAGAAGAGTTGTGAGATGACATCAGGAACATCATACAAGAAGAAAGCAAAAGGTCAGTCACAAGACAAGAAAGAAAGAAAAGACCAAAATGGATATCAGAAAAAACTCTGAAACTTTGTCTCTAGTGCAAAGATTCGAAAGCGAATGGAAGAAATGAAGAGGTAAAAGAGCTGAACAGAAAATTTCAAAGGGCAGTTTGAGAAGATAGAATCAAGTATCATGATGAAATATGCAAAGACCTAGAGTTAGAAAGCCAAAAGGAAAGAACATGCTCAGCATTTCTGTTAGGTTTGCCAATGGTCTGTCAATTTTATTAACCCTTTCAAAGAACCAGCTTCTTGTCCTGTTGATTCTTTCTATAGTTTTTCTGTTTTCTATCTCAT